ATTGTAAGCGAGGTTCACCAGATCACGGAGATGACACAGTCGTCTGAAAAGACTATTTTTGGACTCGAGCCGGACATGGAGGCAGCTCAAAGTAAGGTCTAGCCCGATCACTTCACTGGACTTGAAATCACAAGTGATACCATGATAATATACTTTTATTCACCCATGATTCTATCTTTGGAAAAGAGCAGACATCTAACTAAGCAAAAGTAGGCTTCTTAATCTCAAAACTCGTTCTTATACTCATGAAAAGCATCATTTAGTCTGGATGACAGAAGTGTTGTTTAGGAGAAACAAACGTGTTTAGAAAACTTGAAACGTTTAAAATGAAACTAATGGAACAAAGGAGCTAGAGAGCTTTCTTTTCAGATTAAATGAAAATATTTCATGTCTCTGAAGTAAAGTAATCAAGTTGTGATTGTAAATTAGTGTTACAGGTCACTACATACATATTTACTTATTCAGTTATAGCCTCAACTGTTATTTATCCTTCTTTTTTTTTGATAAATGTTAATTATATTACCAAAAGGAAATTGAGGTTTACAAAAGTTTGAAACAAACTATTAGGCACACAAAAAAAAGAGCCATAAAATAGAACGAGAGATGCTAAATTAAAAGCATTAGAACGTAACAAAGCAGCATAGCATGGTCAGAGATGAGCAAACCACTTGAAGAGGAGACCCTTCCCTTGTTTTTGATACCGATGAGCAAGAAGGATATCTTTGATCACTCTGTCAATTTGGTGAAACAGAGTTTCATGAGATGAGAGAGTGCTTCCATGAGCGCAGCGGTTTCTTTTTTTTCAAAGAAAGCGAAACTGTTATTTATCTTTCTATAATATATGATCGAAATGAACCATGTCATAGTGCAGTTCTATAGCTTTCTTGTTATTCATGTAATAATGATTATTGATATTAACCATTCATCATCTTCTACGGGCAGATCGGCACGACTTGCAATTTACCATTACTGGCCTTCAAGAAGGTTGGACTTGGACACTAAGACCTGGGTTTTTGTTCCTCTAAAAATTTAATTTATTCTACAAATTATGTATCTTTTAATTCCCCATCTACTTTGCAGTTGAAGCTTATTGATCATTCATATTATTCTATAATCTGAAAAAATGTAAATAAACGTTGCTGTTTTATTTTGGTTGCAGTTGGTACTTGAGAAAAAGGAATTGGTGCAAGAATTGTCATCCGAGTTATGTCAAACTGTACGCCTAATTTGTAAAGTTTTATTAACATAAATGAATATCATAAAATATATATACATTACTGCAATATCAAACATCAATTAAGAATCCAGTTTGTTTAATGAGCATTAAAAACCTATGACCTTATAAGCTATTGAGAAAACTAGTCAATGCTGAATATATATTTGTGAATTCATTCTATTGTGTGCGTTTTCTTTGTCATACGAGGAGAACAATGATTAATCCTGAAAACTCAAAGTCCAAACTCAAAGGCTAGAGCTTCTAAAAGCACATGCACAATGATTTCTTACATGATTAACATGATAACAATTATTAAAAAAAAAATAACCTAGAGTGATAACGTGATAACATATTAAATATCTAAATAATATTTGTACGAATAAGGTAATATATATATATATATATATATATATAATATCTATATTCACATGTAACTTATAGATAATATTCACCGATAATAATTAATAATGAGGTTACATGATAACAATGAAAATCCCATGTTTTATTATGGGTTTTTTCACAGACAGGGTAGACGAAGAAGATGCCAACGCTTATAACAGACCCATGTTGCATGTCTTTTTAGGTTCGACAGCAACGAATGATTCGTATATTCATCTCTTCGCCGGAAGATTTTGCCGGAGGAACCCAGAATCTTGGCCAATTTCTTTTGGATGATAACGACGAGAAGAATCTTGGTCGTACCTTATCCTTTTCATGTCCGCCTCCGAACTGTTGAAGCAGCGCAACGAAATTGCTGGATTGTAAATAGACTGTGACAGCAACTTACATGCTTATTAGTTGATTTAGATGTTATCTGTTTGTTTATCTTGATATTTAATATTATAAATCGCTAACCTACATAATATGTGTTATTTTCCTTTATAGCTTATTTAATATATTATTACATCATATAAACCATAAATATCAAGTGAAGTATGCAAATGTATGAGGGATATTAAAGCGGTAAATATTATAATAACGAGTTAAGGATAATGTTACAGAGGTACACAGTTAATTAATGTGTTAGGTTTATTTGTAACATGCATAAAAGTTATTCAAAATATATTATATAAATTTTTAATTACATAGAATTTTCCATTTACCATAATATAAGACTATGGTAAAATTGTATGTCAGATAAATTAATATTTAGCACAATACAAAATTAGGTTTTATGGCCGTCACCATGAAATCTTTAATAACCTCACCTCCTCCATTACAATCCCCGTCTCAGCCCACCACTCTGTTTGATCTAACTTCACGACACCAGCTCTTTTTTCGCCGTAGCTACTGAAACTGATAAAATCATCATCACCACCGATCGAATCATCACCACCAGGTCCACCACCATCAAAAACATTACCACTTACAATATTTTTCCCAATGAAACTTAATTATTGTCGTTATGTGGGAAAAGTTAATCACATATAATCATCTCCATCGTCATCGCCTCCGTGTCCTCCTCGACTATCGTCCACTTTACCGGAACTAAACACTTGACCAGAACCAAACACTTTGTCTGAGATGTGCGATGAAGGGAGAGAGAAAATATGAGAGATTAAAAATTAAAGACAAAGATATACAGAAGTATAGTAAATAATAGTAGAGAAACTTCATCATCTCTATTACTCTAGATAAAGTGTGGGGAAATAATTTGTAAAATATATCATAGTTTTAAATGTTGCAAGGTAATAATAAAGTTAATTTAAACATATAATGCTATAAACATCATTTACCAATATTATTAGAAACATAAGACAATAAATTGTGAAATTATTGTGATCTTTGTAACATGTACGTATATTTGTTTAGTTATTACAATAGGCTAAAACCATGAAGAGTGGTACTATCAAGAAACCCATAACATTCACTAATTTGTTCACATGTATTCTTGTGATGGATAAAACCATACTAACATTTATTAATTTTTATGCTAATAGTTGGTTTGTGTTATTAAAAAAAAATGACAGCATTTGAAATGTTATTGACTATTGTGATCATGTTACAAAAAGAACCGGTCCATTGTAGGTGCTACTTCTTGCTCTTTTGCCCCCATTTCTCTGTGATTGGCTTTAGAACCGGGAAAAAAGAGTCAACAACAATCAATCAGTTATGCCTCTCCTCTTCCTGCCTCTCTAGCTGGCTTGATCTTAGACTCCGCTACCAGAGAAGAGCCCTTGTGTCCCTAGCTAATGGATGCCTCTTCCATTAGTGCTCCTTCCTCTGATGTCTCCGCTCGGTCAACCGTCTCTGGAATTTCTGACTTTTTCGGTTCTAAAGCCACTCCGCCCGCCATCCAGTGGATCTTCACCTGGCTAGGATTCTGACTCTCGAACGGGGGAAGGCAACCTATTAGATATACATTGAAAGGACTAAAATAGAAGATGATCAGTGAAATGGAAGGAAATATACATTGAAGACAGTCAAAATTCACCTGCTCTACATTGTGAATTTAAGGTAATTACATCATCCAGCTGTTCACTCACTATGTTTAAATATGTATACATACCAAGTATATAAAGATTTTTTAACAAAAAAATGTAGAAAAAGATTTTTTGTTTTTTAATGTTTATTTGTATTACTAAAAGCAGATTTTGTGAAGATACATACCATGAAAATTAAACATCATCATTGAACCAACATGATAACATTAACATGTATATATATATAATGTGAAAATAATACAGATAGAAATTAATATCGTATATATTTACGTTAGATGTGTTGCATTCATGACGAATAATAAATCTAATATTTTTATTTTTTAAAAATCTAATAGCAGTAGGACGTTAGATCATGTAGTTTTTAAAAGATAGATTTTCTTTTGAAAATTAAACTTAAAATATATTCTATCTTACATATACGATATAATATAGCATCTAGATAGATTTTTAATATTTTCAAATATAAGATATTTTAACTTTTATAGAGTATGTGAAGGCCTAAATTGTATCACTGTAATAAAGGATTTTCTATATGTATATTGTTTGTGTGTAATCAATCAAAGATAGTAAGAAGAAGGTGATAATTAATTTCGACATTGTAAATGGGGCCAATCAATGACGAGATAAAACTATACGAATGAACCCTAAACCAATGTTATATATATAATAATAATGTATTCAAACAGTTAAATATTCAAACCATTATTACATAATTTTCATTATTTTTAAAATTTCGTCACTTACATTATCTAAACACACCTACCTATTATCACTCTTAACATTTTCACTCTTTTCACTAATACAATTTTTTTTAAAAAAAATCTGACTTTAATAATAGTGCTGTCAAGAGTTTAAATCGCTACAAGAAGATAGGCTATTTCCAACAGAATTATACGGCATTCGTGATACTTGGTGTGTTTCAAGAGTTTGAATCAGTATCAGTCACAATATATGGCATTCGTGATAATAGAAGGAACATAAAAGTGAGACTGAAACTAGACAGTCATTACCTAATAATTTTGCATTGCCATGATCAAATCTTGTAGTTCGCTTTCGAGAGCATTCATAGTTACTCTCCATGTGCCATGACCTGATCCAACTTGATTTGGATGGCAATCTTCCATTGACAAAGGATCCATCATATATAGTTACACTTTGTCGTTTAATCCTCTGGCCGTCTTCTCCATAACATATGGCTAATGTTGTTGCTTCTTGTATCATATGTTATTGCTTATGGCCAGAAATAAAATATTTCCCCATAGTAGACTCTTTTGTTGAAACGCTACTAAATTCGTACTCTTCCACAATCTCCAAAGGATCCATATGGCTAATTTTTGGAAATGTGGCTGAGCTTGACTGTTAAGCTTTCTTCGACATATCTTCCTTTGCAACCAGTCTCTAGTTTTTGTTTCGTTCCAGCTGTTACATGTGGAACTCACACAGTCTTAGACCATATCATTTCCAACAGTTTGATTATCGTTTGTCGTGGCAGTCTTGGTGGATGTGAAGGCAACCAGGGATCGGACAAAGCGTTGATCATCGAGCCGTCTCAAAAAGCAATCACAGACTTCTTCTTTAGGATAACATTTAACACACAATCTGGATTCTGTAGAATTCACCACTAGAAAATTTATTACTCTATTTCATAACTAATTATTTTTTGTATTCATACATATCCAAATAGTTTGTTATATATAGAAAAATATATTTTAAAACTAAAATAGTGTATTATAAAAAAGTAAATTTTATTTCTTTATATTAAATAATTAAATTACTATATTACATTTGTTGAAATAAAGAGAATTCAGATTGACTAAAAGATAAGATTTTAGATTATTTGTTGTCCAAACACGTTGTGACACCTGTCCATTCTGACAAAAAGGATAATTAAGGTTTACACCTTTTAGTTCTTCTATATATATATATTGAAGCATAGCAAGTCTTAGGGAACCTTTTCAACAGACAAGAACCTAGCCGCCCCCATAGAGGCAACAACTTCTCTGATCCATTGTTGAAGATCGATGAGGCAGAATCCAAAGGCGAGGAGATAAAGCGTAAACCAAATACCCAGATCAGATGCAACGTTAGATCTGCTTTCGGGGTAATTGGCAGTGTGGCAAAGTTAGATCTGCTTACGTATGAGAAGAAGGAATCCATTTATATCAAATTTTGATCAAATATCAGATATACTTGTCTTAAACTATTTAAATTTTATTGATTTAGTTGTTAGACCAAGCAAGGAAGGAAACAAACAAAACTGAAAGAATTCTCCAATGGTTTACACTATCGATACGGTTAGCAAAACGATACAGATTCGATTTAATCTATTGGTTTTTATTCTTTGTTTTATACGTTTTTTATTCTTAATAGATATGTTGTTAATTATTTTGTAGATCTATGATGAAAGTAGACAGACACAACAAACTTTGTCGGGAAAAATTGACATAAGTCATGCACGGATGCATTGTGTCAACGGTACGGTACGTCTTGTCTTTTTTTGTTTTGTTGTTTTTTTAATTTTTTGTTTTGTTTATTTGAGGCTTTTTGTTAGCATAATATACACTCAAATTGGTTAGATAGAAATTTGATAAGAGACTTTTTTGTTTTTTTTGTCTTGTTGATATAGGAGTTCTATTGATATGATAGAAATTCATGTCTTTTAAATATTTATTTCATTTCTAAAAGTAGTTCGTATATGACAAAAATCTCAAATTTATTAATCAACTAGATTAGGATGCGTGTTATACACGGGTTAATCGAGAAATGATTATTTTATAAAAAAAAAAGCAGCAATGTTTTTGCCACTATACAAATATCATATTGAATTTCAACTGAACTAACTGTAAATCTTATCATATATTTGAACTGAAACCCCCAAATATGTTTTTTTTTTCTTTTAGAGTGTATAAAAAATTATTAGTTGATAATATATATAAAAGGTTTCGTAATTTAAAATTTTTAAATTTTTATTTTAAAACTTAACCAACGATAAATCAAAATACATTTAATTGGTTTAATCTTGTAACTCTCATCTCAATTTATATACTTAATCTCAATATCCCTAAAGCACCTATAAGTTTTAAAAAAAATATCTCTACTAAACTACTATACTATAAGCTATACCTTGGAATCATTAACTTATCTTAAATGTATTATAACTCAAACATGACGACTACAATTAATGCACCATTCATGTTGATACTATTTTCATAATTACATATATATTTTATAATTATATATTGTAATTTACGTAGATATGTATTTCAGTATCATTTTTTGTTTTTCTTAAGAAAATAAAAGGTTAAGCATATTTAAGTTTCAAAACTGAAAAATATTGAAACACTTATTAAAATCTAATTAATTAATTGAAATGTCTCGCATTTCGTGAAATACGGTTTTGCAATATGACAAGCTCTGTTAAGAATGTTGAAACTTTATATAATAAGAGTAGTAAAATTTTCTTTCTTTTTTCGGGTAGGATAAGATATCATAACTAACCTTTATCTAATAAGATATCATAACTCAATCAAAAATTCCATACAACTTTAGGCCTATACGGCTTATTTATAACAATGAAACTTTAACTAAACTCGCAAGTCAATACAATTTGACGCCCGAGTATGCATCAGTAAAGAGATTTTAGTCATTCACGAATATGAAGATGGTCCACTAGTTGTGCATGCATGGTTTAGGTTTTTAGGAGCCACATGGATTGTATGTCACTGTGAATTGTATAGCACCCCAACTCTAGGAGCAAAGGACTTCTCCTATCGTCTACGAGATGAGATTTAAAATTATGACGTTTGAAAGAAAGGAGATGAATCTCAAGAAGTGAGCTTCCAAACTTTTGAGAAGGAGTAACTAAGAGGATAGAAATTTGCACGTCCTACGCTGAGGATAAAAATTTGCATCAACTAATTTGGAGAGGTTGATGAAAACTAAGAGGAGTTCTCCATTGTAGTGACTAATGCATAAGTCGAATCGTTTGGATAGTCTTTTTATGATATCTTACGATGACATATGCGGTAATGTGTGATGTTTCCCAGTAGATATTATTCTTTGGGCCTAAGAATTAGAGTGAGTGAAGTCGCATGAACATTAATGAAGAGCGTTGATCATCAGGTTCAGGTGGATAACGAATCAAGCAACAGCAAAACAAAAAAAAAAAAACAAATGTAGAATTCCATGACCATTAGTCAAAGATATGTAGATACATTAAGCTTACATTGCATCTTCGAAGCGCAATGCAAGATCATCAAGCTTGTTCAAAGAAGATGATCATTCACTTCTTGCATTATTCCTCTACATATCTTTGATGAAAGACAAGTAAGAGGACCACACAAATTCATTTTCCAAAATCTTCACAGCTTTCTCCACGGTTTAGATAGTATTATGTACTTCTTTTTATCTTATCTAAGAGAAGACTACAACAAAATACGTCTATTCTTATGTATTCCTTTGCGATCATCAGTTACTTCTTCCAACATTTGAGAAGGAAAAAAAGAAATATAAACTAAAAATTCATCCAAAATTTTGCATAAAAATGTAGAAGCTGAATTGAAGAAGATAGATTTTTATTATTTTACTCAAGCAAACTGTTTGTTTTGCCACATAAGCCGACTTGTGATGTTGATATATCATGTCTCTTGTGGCAAAATATAAAACTTTCTTGAGTAAAACAATAAATCAAACTACTTTAATTCAATTTCTACATTTTACTTGGATGAGTCTGTATTTTCATTCCTATCTTTTTTCCTTCTCAGATAGTTTGTTATATAGAGAGAAGTATCTTAAGACTTAGCACTTAAACTACTTCTCCGATCCAAAACTAAAGAAACACAAACACCATAAGCTACTTAACTAGCAAGTCACACCATATCATTTGTCTAAGAAACAAATCACTCATTGGTGGTTTTGCTGATGAGAGATTAGTGGATGTGAGGGATCACACCTACTCCAGGAATTGTTCCTTTGATGAGTGTGTCAAGCTCCTCATCTCCTCTGATCGCCAACTGCAAATGCCTTGGAGTTATCCTCTTCACTTCCAGATCTTTGCTCGCGTTGCCAGCCAACTCAAGAACCTTTGTAGTTAGGTATTCAAGGATTGAAGCCGTGTAGACATCAGAAGTGGCACCAACTCTACCATATGCAGAAACTCTGGTCTTGAGTTGCCTATGAATACGAACCACTGGAAACTGAAATAAACAAAGAAACAGTATCAATGTGAAATTTCATAAAGTAAGACTACAAAGAAACATGAAATTCTTTGTTTATTTCAGCTTCCGATGGGTCGTATTCACATGCAACTCAAGACCATAGTATCTGCACATGGTCGACTTGATGCTACTGTTGCTGTCTACGTGGCTTCAATCCTAGAGTGTCTAATTATATAGGTTCTTGAGTTAGCTGGAAAAGCGAGCAAAGATCTGAGAATGAAGAGGATTACTCCTAAGCATTTGTATTTGGCGATCACAAGAGATAAAGAGCTTGACACAATCATCAAAGGCACAATTAGTGGATAAGGTGTAGTCCCTAACATCCATAAGTCTCTCATCAACAAAACTAGCAAGAAGTGATTTGTTTCTTAAGTCAAATGATATGATGATGTTATTTGCTAGTTAAGTAGCTTATGGTGTTTGTGTTTTTATGTCTTGTTCAAGATGAAGCAGAATCCGAAGGCGAGAATGGTGGAAATGAAGATCTCATTTTACTAGCACACTAAGATTTAGCCTGCGATACACCGCGTGTCATATTTTATTTCTTTACTTGGCAACATTAAATTTTTTATAAAGTTTTAGCATTAAAATTATATGATTTAAATTTTTGATGTTTTTAGATTTAACCCGTAGATTGTAATTTATTATAGTAGTATTGCAATTACACATGTATAAGTGTCACTACAAAAAAAAGGCTAGGTTGCATCACTTAAATTGCATCAAAAAGTTAAACGATACTAATTTGAGTTACTTATTAATAATTGATACAAAAAATATAATTTAACATCAATTGTTGTAACTGATGCTATTGTTAATTTATGTGGCATCAATTCATTAAAATTGATACAAATCTAGATCAATTTGTATCATTTTTACATATTGATACAAATTTATAAATTCACATCATTTAAACAATCGATGTATTTCTTAATTTATATTAACATCACTTGAAAAATGATATAATTTTTAATAAGTTTACACTAATTACGTTAAAACTAATTTTGTGGTTTAACATCCACTGATCATGCATCCTCTATTTATTACTAAATTTTTAATTACACAAAACAAAATTTAGACGATCATAAAAAAAAATTCTCTTTTCTTTTTGAATTTTTTCATTGGCCGCCTCTTTTTTTGTTTCCTCAGTTTAAAATCTTAGTTGGAAATAAAATATCTATTTTCCTTTTCACCAAAACTAAGTAAATCAAAATACAAATCTCTCCGGAATCTTAACTTCTTTAATCTACAAAATCTACACTTTCTTTGCCAAATACAAATATCTAAGATATATATTTTTTTGTTAATAACTTCTTCTCGCCAAGATGATTACTTTAAGAAGCAGAGGTTTGGTGGCTCGTCTTCTTCGCAAAACTGTAGGTCACTTAATGTTCTAAATTTTGTTTGGGTCATTCAATTTACAAAAGTAAAAGGCTAAAAGCTACTCATAGAATAAATCTACGACCACAAGAGTTTGTGGCTTTAGAAATATGTGTCTTTTCAAAGATTAATTAGAAGTTCTATTTTGTTATCTCTTTGATTTTATGCTGATCTTAGGCTGATCTCCATACTTATTTTGTGCTGTTTTGATCCAGTCTTTTATCATCAAGGCGTTGAAGGACCCGGAAAGAAACAGAAAGACGGTTAAGAAAATAAAGCACACGGACGATGATGTTACTGAGGTTGCTAGGATTATGAGGCCCATGAGGATCTGACCGTGAGGATCGTGAAGAAGATTTAGAGATGCATGGGATGCACCATTGATGAAAAAGACCCAAAAGATTTTTCAGCATGAATTCAAGGATGTGATCGAGATTGATATTTCTGAGAATTAATTAAGGAACAAAAGTAGTTTATGGTTTTAGAGTTTGTTTTTGAATTTTCAACAATGTAAAGTTGTAAAAATGATATTAATCTTAACATCACTTACTATAACCGTAACAAATAATTACATCATTTTTATTAACCGATGCAAATTTAACATCGTCTCTTGCAAATGATACAAAACAACATCAATTATAATAATCGATGCAAATATTTGATGCAACCGATTCAAAATATTTGCATCACCACTTTCAGAGTCACTTTTATAAGTGATGCAAAACTTATTTGCATCATTTATAAGTAATGTAAATATACAAAATAAATGACACAAAACACCTCTTTTTTTGTAGTGTGTCAAAGGATATTAATACTTATTTTGATATATTACAATGTTAGATTTTCACAGTTTTTTGTTTAGTAAGTTATACGATTAACCTTTTGGTGTTTTTACGACCAACCCGCTAAACATATATAATTTAATAATTTCATACTAAAATAATTGTTTGTCACGTTAAAATATTCTACAAATCTTTCTAATTACCAATCCATAATATAGTTTTATTCACAAATCCAAAGCAAAAAAGAATATAGAATAATCCAAAGCAAAGGAAATATATGATTTAGAGATTTGATTAAATAATCTCCAATCAAGATTATTGGAAAGATTTGAGCAACAATTTTTTTTTTTGTCGAAAGAGCAGTTGGTTTTAAGTATATAATCTTTCATTAAGTACTTTTAAATATTCAGAATTAAATCTAATGGCATGCCAGTGTAAATAAGTCTAAAGGCCAAGAGTTTTTTTCCAAATGTACTTGCAAAATGTATATATAGATGTACGAGAAGAAGGAATCCTTATCCACTATGAAATCAGTGAGGTATGAAATATTGTTTGGCACGTGTAGGAAATGTCACAGCCTATGCCATGATTAGATGAGGTGTCCAAGATTCGGAGATTTGGGGAAGCAAACATGATATCTAATTCGAACGTATCCGAAGATGGGCAACAATATGCAAAGTTACAAATGTGTTGTCTCATAAGGTTTACCAAGTGGAAGTGTATCTGGTTTGACTAGGGTTGGTACAGTAGAATGAAATGCTTCATGGGCAGGCAGCGGATAACAAGAAGAATTCGGGTCCTCAGGAGAGTAATCACCGTTGTTGGTGTCAGATCCCGCAATTCGGATCCAGCCCAGAAAGATGTTAGATCAATGGAATGAAGTGGGCCGTTGGCCCGGTCTAGGGGACCAAAAGAACGGCCCAGTAAGCTCCAGCCCAGCTCGAGTGAAACGTCGGGATCTCGCGAATTAAATGAAAGGCGGGTCACACGGAATCTGCGAGATCGGGAAGATTCGAAACGGATACAATAATAGAGGCGAGATCCGCGGCTTGATTGACGACTTCGGTTTCGAATCATGTAACTATAAATAGAAAACGAAAACCATTGTAATGGGGGGGAGAACTTTTGAACGAAAGACAGATACATACACTTTTACTCTTTTGCTTCCTTTTTCATGATTGTTATTCGAATTATCAAAGCTAGACGACCCGATTCATTTCAAAATTTGTATTGCGGATTCTGGCATCCACAACCGTTAAAAATAAGGTCTTAGTAATAAACACAAGAAGGGAAGGAAGAATCCTTTTTTGGCACATGTTCAAGAGTCAAGTTCTGATCTGGCTATTCAAGTAACACAGTTAAGTCAGCAGAATACTGCAGTAGTGGAAATGGTTGTTGGATCCCTTTCTTGGCACTAACTCCGGAAAAACAGTGAAATATTCTGGTGCAATGGATTCCACTGATACAATCACCTCAAATATGGTGCGTAAATCCTTCTTGTATTGCCATGATCAAAGCTTGTATTTCAATTCGCTTTCGAGAGCATTCATAGTTATTCTGCATGTGCCTTGACTTGATCCAACTTGATTTGGATGGCAATCTTCCATTGACCAAGGATCCATCATTTATAGTTACACTTTGTTGTCCAATCATCTGGCCGTCTTCTCCATAATGTATGGTTTATGTTGTTGCTTCTTGTATCATATGTTGTTGCTTATGTACTCATGTGTAAACTTTATTCTTTCATATCATTCTTGTCCAGAAATAAAACATTTCCCCATAGTAGACTCTTTTGTTGAATTTAAAAACTAATAAATTTCTACTCTTCTACAATCTCCAAAGGATCCATATGGCTAATTTTTGGAAATGTGGTTGAGCTTGATTTCTAAGCTTTCTTCGACATATCTTCCTCTACAACCACTCTCTACACTACAAGAAATATCTACATTATTAGCAAGAGATAAGAGCTATCATATGTCATTAATAGCGTTTTCATAAACGCTATCTTATGCCCCTGTTATGGTAGACCTCCTACATACAATAACGTTTTTTCCATATGTTATTATAGAGCATTCTACCATAGCATTAGGCAAACGCTTTGATATAACGACTTATAATAGCGATATATATAAGCTATGATCTATAATTTTTATGATGCTATAATATTCAGTGCCATAACTCTAATTTTATGCGGTTGTATTAAACTATTTTTATTTGGTGGAACCTGTTTAGTTATATATATGTATAATAAACATCCAAAAGATATACATCATTTCATAAACCAAAAATCAATTCATACATAATACAAGTCTTAATCCAATACTTAAACTAATAACCTAACTTCTATATACTACTTTTGCCAAGGAAGTTGTTGATGAGATTATGCAAAATCCTTACTTCGTTTTCTAGATATTGGACTCGATTCTTCAAGGAAGTTAGTTCAGCTTCATAGGTTGTTGTAGTCTCTTCCTTTCTCTTAGGTTTTCGAAAAATACTGCTACCTTTTCTCTTAGGTTTTCCCCAAATACTGCAGTCTTCATCTATGTCACTGTCCTCAACGACGAGATTCATTATACCTTCTGTTAGAACATGAAATAAAACAAGTAAAATTCAGGCTTCTTGACCATAAACTTATTGAGTCACTTTATTAGTAAATAAATCTCTTTACTCACCTGAAAACTCAACCTGCAATTGAGACATGTCTTTAGCATGAGAAGAGACTAATTCCATTTCTTTTGTACCTTTACTTTCTTCAAGAAACTCAAGACAATCACTTGTATCCAACATCGGTGACTCATAGACATAACTCGAAAACCACTTGCTTAGATTAGGAACTTCTGAGAATTCTGAAAAGAGAAGTGACGAACCACATAAGTGAAATCAATGCAGCTAATCTAGCTTACCACTAACAATATCCACAAAATGATGATTCAGAAACCAAACCAATTAAACAAGTTTGATGCTACCTTCACTATCATCCATCTCTCAATTCTCTCTATTCAAAAGTCAAGTCTTTTCCTCTGCCTCTTTGGTCTTAAGAAAAACTCGATCTCCCAATAGCTTAATTGAAGCTAAGTATATTGTCAATACTAAACTGAGACAGAGAAAATTATAAGTCATTACTAGAAGGAAACCGATAAATCATCACACATAGTTTTAGAAATAAAAGAGAGCTTGACTTCTAGCTGCACTTGACGAAAGAAAGAATAGAGACTTACCTAGTGGAGAAGGATATATGAAAGGCAAGAGTTGCTAAAGGTTGACTTAAGAGAGGCTCCCTTATTACAGACAGAATCTACACAAGATTCCTGCAATATCGAGTAAGAAAAAGTCGTAAAATTGATATCTCATTCATATGTAAAAATGTCCTGAGATACTGAACAAAGAGACCTTACTTAACAATGACCTGATATAATAAAATGTCCACTAGCATTCCTATTAAATACTAAAACCATTCCACGAGAATCTAATAACATCCAATGGTACATAATGCATCAGATAATCAAATCATTATAAACTCAATGTAGAAATACAATTAAAGTAGCTAAACGTAATCATCTATGGAAACAGATTAAAGAACTTACAATTTCAACTCTTAAAATGACCAAATCTTAATAAAGCAATGGAACAGATAGAGAAAATGAAGCATAAAAGACCTTTCCTTATTTTGTTTTCTTGACGAGAAGCTTGAGATAGAGATTATTGAACTTAGGAACAATCTTTTGGTCTTCTTGTTCTTACCTCCTACTATAGATCGTTACCCTACAACACCAATGAAAAAACAAACCGGCTGAATGCAATTTTTCCAGTTTGAGTCTCACCTAGACATTTTATCGAACATCTAGAGAGCACAATGAGCTCATCTACAGAAAAACTACATAATCAAAATCCTAAGTCAAACTGGTTAACACTAAGCAACATCGATATAAAGAGATAACTCTTAATCGATCCACAAACCCAGATCCATCTACCCGACCACGAGCTAACAAAACAAAGACGTAGAGAGAAAGAGACATAGAAACAAGGCGTCATGTTTGTGCAAATCCTCAACAAACAGAAACGAAAAAAATCAATTCTTTAAATCAAATTCAAAGTAAAAAAGAGTGTTACGTTTCTGGGTAAGTTGCAGAACCTAAATGATTTTAAAACTTTAAGCTAGTATTTTCATCGAACACATGGTGTGCATAAAAGACAAGCACTAAAGATGGTACGAAAAAATTAGACTCTAGAAAATCAAATACCTTAGGGGTTCAGGATCAACATAAATCTTGAGGAAACTCCATAAAACAACAACACTTAACAAAAATAAATTAAACCCGGAGGAACTAGTAACGAGTATGAGGAAGAACCCTAATCAATTCTCCAAACCTTTCCACCGTTAAGAGTTCGTGAACACACAAATCTCGACGCATTAGCTGTTAAACAAAATCATTTATAAACACGATTCACAATTTCAAACGAAAACCAAACCAGATTTAAAGAGGAGAGGGAGATAAAAAAAAAGACAGTGAGAGGGAGGACGAGAGAGTGAGATCGAAAGGAGGAGAGTGAGACCACTAATCGATTTCTTTTAGGTATGAGTATGTGAGAAGTTCTCGATAGGTTTTGGGTGAAAGGGGGAAATGTTTGTGAGAAGTTTTAGGTCTGAATCTATTAGAAAGAGGGAAATGAGTTGACTGTGGCGCTTAAGTGAAATTTTTGGCCAAAGTATTAGCGGGATAAATGATTTTACATTTCCATTTGCTAATTTGGTATCTTAGGGTTGTTTCAATGCTATAATATAGTAATCAAATAATTTTTTTATTTTTTATAGCAGTTGCGGAAGATGAGCTATGTTCACGTGCTATCAATGTGGATATTTCTTGTAGTGCTAATTTTTGTTTCGTTCCAGCTGTTTCTTGTGGCACTCACACAGTCTTAGACCATATCATTTCCAACAGTTTGATTACGAGGCTGTGGCTGCCTTGGTGGATGTGAAGGCAACCAGGGATCGGATAAAGCATTGATCAAGAGCCGTCTCCAATAGCGAATCTCCAAGCGTATGAAGTCTTCTTCTTTAGGATAGCATTTAACACACAATTTGGATTCTGTAGAATTCACCACTAGAAAATTTATTACTCTATTTCACAATTGATTTTTTTTTTGTATCACAGTTAATTCATACATATCAAAATAGTTTGTTATATATAGAAAAATATCTTTGAAAACTAAAATAGTGTTGGAAAATAATAAAAAAGTAAATTTTATTTGTTTATGTTAAATAATTAAATTAATATATTACATTTGTTGAAATGAAGAGAGTTTAGATTGACTAGATAAGATTTTAGATTATTTGTTATTCAAACACGTTGTGACACCTGTCCACTCTAACAAAAAGTGTAACACCCCAAATTTGAAGAAAAAAAAGGAATCAGATTTTGGGTTAAATTGATCGTTTTAAAACTGTCTAATTTCATGGGTAATTCTGATTAATTCAAAAGTCTGTGGCAGAATCTGTAAATTGAGAAAGTACCGGGACTAAAGTGCAAAATCAGGAAAAGTTAGTGCAGCTCGATTTCATCTTTTCCGAAAATGAAGGAGAGATTTTGGCAGCTCGAATCTTGATCTTCCAACCCTAATATGTCGTATTTATATGCGTTTCGAAGCCCCAAAGATCTAAAAGTCGTTTCTCTTGTCAATTGAAAATTTTTGGTTGATTGAGCTTCTCCATATTAGTGCACTCGGTCTTGGTTAATTTTAGCTTTGGTGGGAGAGTGTGGAAGAATTAGAACCTGATCTATACCTTGTTAGAAAGCTCTCATTCACACGGATCCAACGCCACTGAGATCTCATCAAACGGAGGTCGGAATTGATCGGAATCTGATTGGTGAATTAATTGGTGGTTTGGGACGTGTCTAGAATTGCCGTTAACCACTCGTTCGATCTGAAAAATCTTTCTAGGTGAGTTCTAACTCCCTTATTAGTTATTATACATTTGTATAATATTTAGGAATATGATAGAATGAAGATATGAATTATTTGTATGTTTGAATTCTGAATATGATTCTGAGGATGAAATATGATATTCTGTTAAGACCGGTATTAGCATGCTATTCTGATTTAGCTACCTCTATTGAGCAATCTGTGGTGGTCGGCATCGCCAACAGATGTATTCCGTACTCTGTTAGTCTGTTAGTGATATTGAGGTTGGTTAATGCCTTGGACTGTACTTCCTTATCACCTTGTTAGGGGCCAGCATCCCTATCGAGTATATTATGTAAATATTCTGTTAGTATATGGTTTAGGTCGACCAATGTTGGGGTTGTACCATTCCGATGTGGCATTGCTGAGTACACGGTCGTTCTGTTCTGATGTTATTATTTTGTCTGATGATATTATTCTTTTTTGATTATTTGATTATGTATTTTGGACAGTATATGTTATGTTGTGAATAATATATATTTATAATTAATTGAATTAGAATTTGTGTTTGTTGGTACCAACACGTGAACATTTTTCTGTGCGGGATCAGACCGTGTTGGTACTTGTTCCTCGGGTTTGTAGTCTCACTGGGCGATTTTTCGCTCACATAGTTTCTGATTCCGTGCAGAGGGCATTGAGTAACATCCTATACATGCAGAGGTATTGTTTTACTTTGTTGTAGTAACATCGATTTGACGAATTCAATTTCCAAAATCTTCACAGCTTTCTCCACGGTTTAGCTAGTGTTATGTAGTTCTTTTTATCTGAGCTAAGAGAAGACTACAACAAAGTAGGTTTACTCTTACGTATACCTTTGCGATCATCAATTACGTCTTCCAACATTTAAGAAGGGAAAAAGCAATATAAACTAAAAATCCATCAAGTGCATAAAAATGTAGAACCTGAATTGAAGAAGATAGACTTTATTGTTTTACTCACGCACGCTGTTTGTTTTGCCACATAAGCCGACTTGTGATGTTGATGTATCATGTCTCTTGTGGCGAAATCGAAAACTTGCTTGAGTAAAACAATAAATCAAACTACTTTAATTCAATTTTTACATTTTACTTGGATGGGTCTGTATTTTCATTCCTATTTTTATTTTTTTTCTCAGATAGTTTGTTATATAGAGAGAAGCATCTTAAGACTTAGCACTTAAACTACTTCTCCAATCTAAGACTAAAGAAACACAAACACCGTAAGCTACTTAACTAGCAAGTCACACCATATCATTTGTCTAAGAAACAAATCACTCATTGGTGGTTTTGCTAATGAGAGACTAGTGGATGTGAGGGATCACACCTCCTCCTGCAATTGTTCCTTTGATGAGTGTGTCAAGCTCCTCATCTCCTCTGATCGCCAACTACAAATGCCTTGGAGTTATCCTCTTCACTTTCAGATCTTTGCTCGCTCTTCCAGCCAACTCAAGAACCTTTGTAGTTAGGTATTCAAGGATTGAAGCCGTGTAGACATCAGCAGTGGCATCAACTCTACCATGTGCAGAAACTCTGGTCTTGAGTGTATCTGCACATGGTCGACTTGGTGGTATTGCTGCTGTATACACGGCTTTAATCCTAGAGTTCCTAACTGCATAGGTTCTTGAGTTGGCTGGAAATGCGAGCAAAGATCTAAAAGTGAAGAGGATTACTCTTAGGCATTTGTATTTGGCGATCACAGGAGATAAGGAGCTTGACATAATCATCAAAGGAACAATTAGTGGATGAGGTGTAGTCCCTAACATCCATAAGTCTCTTATCAACGAAACAAGCAAGAAATGATTTGTTTCTTAAGTCAAATGATATGATGATGTTACGTAACTTATGGAGTTTGTGTTTTGTTGTCTTGTTGAAGATGAAGCAGAATCTGAAGGCTACAATGGTAGAAATGAAGATCTCATTTTACTAGCACACTAGGATTTAGCCTGCGATACACTGCGGGGTCATATTTTATTTCTTTACTTGGTAACATTAAATTTTTATAAATTTTTAGCATTAAAATTATATGATTTAAATTTTTGATTTTTTTAGATTTTACCCCTAGAATGTAATTTAGTATCGTACTATTGCAATTACACATGTAGAGAGGTATCAAAGGAGATTAACACTTATTTTGATATATACAATGTTAGGTTTTTATAGTTTGTTGTTTAGTAAGTTATATGATTAACCTTTTGGTATTTTTACGATTAACCCGCTAAACATATGTAGTTTAATAATTTCGTATTAAAATAATTGTTTGTCACGTTTAAATATTCTACAAATATTTATAATTACCAATCCATAATATAGTTTTATTCACAAATCCAAAGCAAAGAAGAATATAGAATTTAAGAAAAATATCTGATTTGGAGATTTGATTAAATAATCTCCAATCAAGATTATTGGAAAGATTCGAGCAACTTTTTTTTTTGTTTTTTTTTTTTGTCGAAAGAGCAGTTGTTTTATAGTATAAAATATTTCATTAAATATTTTTAAATCTTAAGAATTAAATCCAATGGCATACCAGTGTATATAAGTCTAAAGACCAAGGGTGTTTTTTTTCCAAATGTACTTGCAAAATGTATAGAAGAAGGAATCCTAATCCACTATGAAATCACTGAGGTATGAAATATTGTTTGGCTTCTGTAGGAAATGCCACAGCCTGTGCCATGATTAGATGAGGAGTCCAAGATTCGGAGATTAGGGGAAGCAAACATCTGATCTAATTCCAACGTATCCGAAGATGGACAACAATATGAAAAGTTACAAAGATGTTGCCTCATAAGGTTTACCAAGTGGAAGTGCATCAGGTTTCAATGGGGTTGGTACAGTAGAAATGCTTCATGGGTGGGCAGCGGATAACAAAAAGAGTCAAGCTCTGATCTGGCTATTCAAGTAACATAGTTAAATCAGTAGAATACAACAGTAGTGGAACTGGTTTTTTCTGACCATGAACAGAAGATGTTGGATCCCTTTCTTGGCACTAACTCCAAAAATAAAGTGAAATATTCGGGTGCAATGGATTCCACTGTTACACTCACCTCAAAGATGGTGCGTGAATCCTTGTTTGCTGATCCGGCGGAGGCTGTTGGGAAGGAAAGGGATGGGGGCATCAATTGGTTTAAAGGAACAACATGGCTCAGGATTTTCCTATCTTTAAGGTTCCGGCTTTGAATTATCTGGACACTATAATGGATCTTAGCCGGCTGATGATGAGGGGGAGGACTAGGAAGCGACTGAAGATGCTCAGGAGGAGGAAGAGTTTAATTTGGTGTATAATCTGGTTGGTGTAGGGG